GAAAGTATTACGTTATGCTAATTTTTGCCGACTTTAGTGACCGCAAGTTCAAGCTGGACACCATCAGCCGGCCTGGGTTTCTCGAATCTTACATCAATATTGCCGTTTTATCTCTTATGTAAGACTTGCAAAGTTTTGAAGGAAATAACTTGCAATTTGTGCAATATGGTTGGACATGAACAGAGACATCAATTTTGTGATCAGCTCATCATTTCAGATCTGTTGATTGCAAACTTACAAACTAATCAGTCTCCCAATTTATGTTCAAATGTTATTAGGTGTTCTTGTGACAACTGCTGGACCAAGTTCTTGATAAATTGCAAAGAATGTTATTGTTGTCGAGCGATTGAAGGATGCATGGATTCTCTCAAATCACTAGCTGTACTTGAAGATAGAAGAGATCCAATGGGTTGCATAACTCAACATCTGGGATTTGCCTCTGTATGTCTCGATAAATGAGTTCTGTGACTGGCAGCCAACAAATATCGAAGGATTGATGGAAAAGCTATATTATTAAAGGATCAGAAGTGTAAGTTACAATAACAGGTTTATTTTATTCTAAAAATATATGGCTCTATATAAGTATTCCCTTGAGTCTGAGCTCTGTCTCATACAACTTTGATTAGGGTGACAAATGAAAGATAAGTAGTAAAAAATTTGAGGAAAATATTAGAAATGTGGTACAAAACTTGGAACAGAAAAGAGATCATGATAGTTATACCAACCAACTTGGAGGGAAAGCAAAATAGGTGAGGTTACTTTCTCCCTTCAATTCTGTGTCAGTTTCTGTCTCAGTCTCGGTTTCATACTGTGAATTGGAGTCGGTGTCACTAATTAAGGGCTCTTCCTGGATGACTACATCTTCATCTTTTGGGTCTTTGGCTTCCTCTAGATTTTCCTCTTTTTCTTCCTTGTTTTTCTGTGACTTACTTTCTTTCTGCTGTAATAGTAACTTCTGATCCTCTTAAAGAAATTATAATAAAAAAGCGTAGAGGGTTCGATGGATAGCTTTTTTCTTATATGCTCTTACAACAACAACAACAACAGCATTTATTTAAACACGATAAAAAATTCAGCAAAAGCTGATGTGGTCGTGTACGGACAATAAAACTAAATTCCTAACTAAATCCAATAAAACTAAATTCCTAACTAATTATAAGAAGACTAATGTAAGATTTCTACATAATTTTCAACAATAAAAATTCTACATAGTACATCATTATAACATACGTGGCTTAAAAATACACTTGAGTGACTTTTTAAAAGCGTCAACGTCTTGAATTGATCTCATTTGATTTTCCAGAGCGTTCCACCGAGTAATTGACTTGTATGAGCATGATTTCTTGACCATATCGGTCTTAGGTCTAGGTAACTTAAATGTCATTTTCCTCCTGAAGTCGTAGCTACTTACATACTTTTCAAAGTGACGGCTCATAGGACGTGGCAAAAGATTATAATAAGCCTGATGCGCTAAGATTAGTAATCGTTTCTCATACATAATCTCTAAGGTATTCCATTTTACTGTGGCAAGAACCTCCTTGCTTGGAGTACACCAATCCAAGTTAAATATTATTTTTTTCGCTGCTCTAACATGTATAGATTCTAAGCTTGAGAAAAATACTCGACCACAAGAGCCCCAAACTAACATACCATATGTCACAGACGGCAGAATAACCTTAAAATAGAAATCAATTCTTGCCTGTATAGGAAGAAAATACAAGGATTTAAGTAAATTCAACTTCTGCGTATATGACTTAGCTAATTCCGATACATGATGATCCCATTTAAGAGCATTATCTATCTGAACACCTAGGCATCTTGCAGAAACAACCTCCCCGACAACATAATCACCTATCTTAATAGCTTGTTTTGGCCCAGTAAATTTTCCGCGTCCACCAAGCAATATATATTCCGTCTTGGTGGGATGTGGAGTGAGACAGTTCTCGCAACACCAGGTATATAGCCTTGCTAGTACTTCATTCAACTTGGAGGCCACCAAATCGTAGGTCGGAGCTGAGACATAGACGGTGGTATCGTCTGCGTACATGTGAAGCTGTGGGTCACCATCTATTCCCTCAGTGATATTGGGCAGATCATTACAGATGATGGAAAACAGGGTAGGGCCCAGCACCGACCCTTGAGGTACACCAAAAGTAACTGGCATAGCTTGAGATTGACACCCATTAATCGTCGTTACTTGCGTTCTTCCAGAGAGGTAATCTCTTATCCAACACCACAAGTCCCCAGCTACACCAAGACTTTGAAGTTTTCGGAGCAGAATGGAGTGGGGAATTGCGTCAAACGCCTTACGAAAGTCTACAAAAACCACGCCTACAACATGTTTCTTGTCGATCGCTTGTCTCCAGTCATCCGTTATTTTCACTAACAACAGCTCGGTGGAATGACCTTTTTTATACGCCCACTGGTGAGGGTTCCCAAGTCCTTGTTCAGTGACATGCGTGGTAATAGTTGACGCCACCATAGACTCCATCAGTTTTCCTGGTACACTTAATAGCGAGATAGGCCTGTAATTTTGCTTAACGGTTTCATCGTCACTTTTATAGAGAGCTGAGATGTTTGCAGCCTTCCAAGTAGCCGGTACACTGTTGCAGGTGGCGCTTATTTGAAAAACAGACAATAAAGATGGAATAATTGAGTCACCGGCAAACTTTAAAAGTTTTGGAGCAACTCTGTCGGGCCCAGAGGCTTTATCGGCTCTCAACTTAGCCATCGAACTAACAATAACCTCCTGCGATAAATTTATGTTCATAACACAAGGCGCGACGGTAGATACATGAACGTTACTTTGTGTCGAGTTGGTATTCGGCAATTCGTTGGCCAGTTTTTCGCCTATAGTTGAGAAATGTTCATTAAGTATGTTCGCTTTGTCCAGATCGGAGGTGACAACTTTTCCATCCGCATTCCTGATCCCTAATATCGGGGTAATCGATTTGCCGTTTGTCGCATTTTTTACCAGTCTCCAGTAGGATTTACAATCCTTCACTTCATTGAACAGTTCCAAATAGTATCTGCTCTTAGAAAGCCTCACTTCCCGTGTCACTCTATCCCGCAACTCCGAATACTCAGCCCACAGGTCTGGATCACCCAGACGTTGTGCCATTTTAAGCATTTTGAAACGTTTATTCATCAAGTGCCGTATTTGCGGTGTTATCCAAGGTACCGAGACGCTCCTAATTTTAACTTCCCTGTAAGGCGCATGCACCTGACAGATATCTTTGAATATGCGTGACCACGCCCAATAGCAGTTGTCTGGATCGTTAAACACTGAACATACTGACCACGGGGCACTCTCGATATCCTTCACAAAAGTAGCTTGATCAAATCTTTTGAAGGTGCGGGCCCTGACTATCTTTGGAGGCGGCCTTTTTATTTTGGACCATATTGTAGCAAGAACCAGCTTATGATCTGAGATTCCCAACTCAGTTGTTTTAATAGTTCCTTTGATAATCTCCGGCTTGCTGGTAATAACCAAGTCAATCAGTGTTTTTTATCAACAACAAAACTGCAATACGAACCTTTCTTCATGTGGCTGAGATTCATTCTTGTCCTGCAACTGCGCTTTCAAGTCGATCACTTTGTTTTTAAGATCCTCTTTTTATTGTAGTATGACTTGCAACTGATGCAACCTTCAATCTGCATTGAGGCAACGCACAATTCTGTGAGAGGAGTCTCGTTGTCTGTGGACGTCATTTCGACCGTGTGGTCAACTTTTGCTTCAAGGTTTTGCCACATTTCATTATCGGCAGTATCACTACTTGCTGCGGCGAAGACATTTTTTAGTAACTATGGAATAAAAGATGAAAAATGGACTTCACATCTTTCGTACAGAAATGCACCAGGGAAATAATTACCTGCTGACAATCTCTTTTTGACTTCACGTTGACGCTTAAGGAGGTACCCCTAGTAGAGGTGGTTGCATGCTGGCCACGTCACGATAAGAGCACTGCAAAAGGAAGCCTTTTCTGCCGAGTTAAAGGCACTAACTGCAGACAGAGAAAAGAAAACAGTGCGAAAAGATTCAAGGTTGCTAGATCGGCCGGGTTGATTGCAGTGTCTATGTACCTCCACTGGCTGGGATCCGTGGCATTGTGAATCGTTTGGACGTGGTTGGCTACATAGACATAGAATCTCCTGCTTTCATTCTGTATATAGCCAAGCACCACCTTCAAGTGCGGGTAATAAGTTTCTTCGTTAACTTTCACATCGAGTTCCTTGCGAATCATCCCTACTGCTTGGGTGGCTAGTACCACACAGTTCAAGTCTAGGTATACTTGTTGAGTGGATTAGTACAATTTTGGACTGTCTGTACAGAAGCAAGATGCTTATTTCTCCTCCAGTATCGACCTCTCGCAGGTAGACAGCGGTTCCGATGGCTTCCTTACTTGCGTCTGAAAATGCATGTATCTCTCTGCGCTCAACGGTGCCAAAACCTCTACGGTGGTAGCATTGAGGAATGGACACATTTTCCAGGTTGGGAAGGGTATCTCTCCAATGACGCCAGCGTTGATTCATATTCTCCGGGAGTGAGTCGTCCCAACCAAGAGGGTTGTTGTTGTTTGCTTTCTTTCCCATGACGACGAGTTGCTGCAAGATCAGCTTGCCTTCTAGGATGACTGGGGATGCGAATGGCTGCAAATTCCTTGAAGCCGGGGTAGGCATCGTTGTAATCCTCTGCATACTGGACAACTCTCTTTTCCCATTTTGAACAAATGAAGTTGGGTAGGTTCTCTACGCTGGGGCCAATCGCAGAAGGGTAGTTTAGGCACCCGAGGCCTGGAAGGAAGTCCAGTTGACTGTCTACGTCAGCACACATGTCTGCAAATCTCTGTAGCTTGTTGCTGTCTCCTTTTTTCAAATCTGGATGTGTTTTGAAGTCGTTGCACAAGGACATTTGTGATGGCAGCTGTATTCCCAAAGCGTCTCTCCAGCTCTGTCCATATGTCTCGAAGGGCGACGCCTGGATCTCTATACTGTCGCTGTCAGAAGTTGTTCACAACCTTCTGCACATCCCCTTTCGTGTAGCTTCTTAAGTAGTTAATCTCCTTTTCTGGTGACAATCAATCAATCAATCACTTTATTTAACGTGGTCAGAATGCTTAGCTAAAAGCTAGTTTACAGGTACGCCACAAAATAAAAAGAGAAAAGGAAATTATAAAGCCTTGTGAAGGTATATAAATTTAAATAAATTAAGATTAAGAACTAGCTAATATTAAAATGTAAGAATTTAACAATGTAGTCACCAAGTAAAATGTAATCATTAAAAACAGTAAATGTAATCAGGGATAGATCCTCACCGTGCTAGAGTCCCGTGAAATCTAACGTTTTAAAGTAATTTTTAAAAGTAGTAAATGTTTGTATCTTTCGAGACTCGTCTGGTAAAGCGTTCCATAATTTCGATGCAGCATATCTCCATGATCTTAACCCGAAGGTTGTTGATTTTACTTTTGGGAGGTCCAGTGTTGTGGTGCCCCTAAGGTGATAAGTGGAGCACCTTACTGTTATAAGATCACGTAAGCTTTTTGGACCTGTATCACTGGCTAATATCTTAAAGACAGTGGACAATATTTTCGCTAATCGCTGTTCACGAAGACTTGAGAGACCGATACGCTTACAAAGTTCCTCATAAGGCGAGGACTTATCTCTAAAAACAAAACGGAGCGCATGTTTGTTCACCAACTCTAACTTGTCAGCTGACTTTTTATTACAGAAGTGCCACGTTTCGGGGCAGTAATTAAAGTGTGGTAAAATGAAAGCTTTATAAAGATCTCTTCTAGTCTCAAAAGACAACATTTTCTGCATCCTTTTTACTACGGCGACTTGTTGACTGACTTTTCTACATATTTTAGCAATGTGCTTTTCAAAATTTAATTTATCATCGATTGTCACGCCAAGAAGTTCCATTGTGTTGGATATGGGAAGTTGTGACTCCTCACACTTAAACACTGGTTCATCAGTTCCTTTGTGTTTTCCTAACACCATAGCCTGGTATTTCGAACTGTTCTCCTTCATACCATTACGCGCAAACCATATATCAGTACTAATAAGATCATTGTTGATTGTTTTTTCAACTTTGGAGAGTTGATTGTCGGCGTAAAAGATTTGAGTGTCATCAGCGTAAGTGGACAGAGTGCACTTCTTGATGACATATGAAAGATTGTTCATGAAGATGTTGAATAATAAAGGGCCGAGGATGGATCCCTGTGGTACACCATTGTATATAGGTTGCCAATTGGAAAGCGTATCCCCCATTCTCACTCTTTGGAATAGTTGCTTCATCTGCTCCATATTCTTTTAATTTCAGAACAATCAGTTCATGATGTAAGTTGTCAAAAGCCTTGGAAAAGTCCATAGAGACCAGACTGATCAATTTGTTGTTATCAATTTCTTTTTTCCATTGTTCAGTTAGACTAAGAAGTGCTGAGTCGCAGCCGTGATATTTCCTATAAGCAAACACATATTTGTGATAAATTTCATCAAAATACACGTTTGCATCCTTGATCAAAGCTCTAAAGGCGCTTTTCCAAGGGTGGAAGAGGGTCACCTTTACTGCGAATATCTCCGGGTGGCACTTTGGAAGATTTTGCCGTTCCAAGCTCGCAGCCAGTTTTTGAATGATCGTTAGAAGTTCTCCTACAGGCCCAGGTGTCAGTGTGAAGGGGTTCCCTGAGCCGGGCTCGTAGAGGGGTGTATTCCTCGCTTGACCATATCCTGAGATGTTCCTATTGGGTGAGGTTTTTGGTGTATGTTCCTCCTTAATTCGGGGAGTGCTGTGCTGGCGAGAGATATCATCCTTTCCTTTAAAACATTCTTCAAAGGGATTAGTGTTTCCTGTGACGCAATCCAGTGCTTTTAGTGTCTCCTGTGGATTTTCTTGTGTGTTTATCCACGCTTGTGTCTGTCTTTTCGTATTGACCGGATTGGTAAAACCTGGAATAGTGACTAACGTGATTTTCTCGTCTTCTTCGTCCTCTATGGCTTTTTCGATGGCCTTCGACTTAGCTTCAGCTATTGCGCCTTTCTTGTTCGCAGCAAGAACGGCTTTGTCATGCACGAATTTCGCTAAATGAGAATGGCGTTTTCTGTCTTCTTCCGCCTCCATTTCCATTCTCTCTCGTTCTTTTTCAGCCAATAACCTGTCGAATTCCGCTTCTTGTTTTGCCGCTGCAGCTTCTGCTGAGGCCTTTCTCCGCGCGGCGCTCGACAAAGAATTGCGAGATACTAATTGCGAGAACGTTTCCCTGATGTTTGTGATACAGAATCCATTCTTTTGCTTAATAGCGGCTCTAGCATGGAATTTCGTTCATCTTCATGCGACGTTGATGATTTAGCTGCCATAGAGTTGTTATCCATGACGAAAATTTACACGATAAGTTTACGAATAGAGTTCTTGGGGGCAGTGTGCCATGTGATATTACATAAGAATGCCGTATCTGTTCGAAAACTCCAGTAGTACTCTTGTAATAAAACTTCTCACTGTTGCATTCCCGAGCCGAGTCCTTGTTTGCTTAAGTATCGATTCGGAGTTCGCCGTGATCAACCACACAACTTCTGATTCTGGATTATTGGTTTATTAGATGAATTGAAGTATGCGGTGAGAACTAGGGGAAATTACAGAGACGCACGTTACGCAACGAATAACTAAACAAGAAAGAATCGATGGACAAACTAAATGACGAGTGAAAGCAACAGCAAAAATGGAAAAAAACTTATGTTATAATCCTTATAATCCTTCTAGGGGGAGTAGCACAGTACAATATCTCCGATGGCGATCGAATATCTCAACAATATCTCCACGAACTGAATATACGCGTGTTTGTGTTCTCTCCTCTAAAAATACTACGATCGGGTTACATTTGTGAAATACTAAAGAACCTACTAATAATCATTAACTTAACACGTGCGTAGCGCAAGGCTTCTTATCCGTCACATGACATATTTCACTGTCTTCGTTAAACTTCAAAATTCAGAGGGAAGTTCAATTCTAAAAATTCTTAAAAAATTGGTGTTTCAATATTTTCCCATACAATTTAAACTGCAAGTTAACAACAACACGAGCCACCTATCTGTTAAGTATCAAGTAAAACAAATAAGGGAAAATAATTAAAATTGCCAATTAAAAGTGATATATTTCATTGTCTTCATTAAACTTCAAAATTCAGAGGGAAGTTCACTTTGAACAATTCATAAAAACTTCTTGTTTCCATATTTTTCACTAAAATTTAAACTGCAAGTCAACAACAACAGCAATGATCCATCCTGTTAAAAAAATATTTTGACATGACTGTTTTCCCTATTGAACTTAGACATAGGGTCTCATACCCAAAAAGGATGAACTTATTGATTATAAAAAACAGAGAAAAATTGTAAAAAAAAGGCGTTTGAATGTTTTATCATGCAACTTTAACTGCAAATCAACCATAGTAAGAGCTGTCTGCAGCCTATTTTTTTTTTTCACATAACCGTCTTGCCTATTGGGGGATGGAAAAAACCGGAATTTCGTCAAGGGTACCTTAACCCTAGCCCCGACTAATACCTTAGAGATTATCTTTCATTATCTCGTGCAAACTACTTTGGATTAGCAAGACGTGTGTCTCGACAAGTTAAAAATATAAAGCCAAAATCAGTAAATGAACCTGAGCAATGCCCCATTAGAAGTTGTATCAAAATCATGGTTAAAATCTGCCTGAAATTGCACCCTCCCCACTTCAAAAAATACAAAAAAACTCCATGAAAAATTCAGTATTTGATGTTTTTTTTTTAAACCTAAAAGGCAACTAGTACAAGTCAAGTGCTAACCTGTATTACTATTAGATACCTCATTTTATCGTCTTATTGCATAGATATTCCCTTAAGAAGAGTTTGGCAGAAAACTCTGCCCTCCCCACCGAGAGATTTTCTGAGTAACAACTGTTTAAAGAACCCTGGAGCAGTCCAGATTTAACCAAATCATCCCAAATTTTAAGACAATATAGCCACGATATTGTAATATATGTGTATGTTTCTTCTCTGCTGTACCCTGAAATGTTGCTGAGTTATTGACCCTTACAGTAAAACATTGGGGTTTTTTCCGTTTGTGATCGAAAAGTCTGGAAGACCCCTTAAATTCGTGTCGTAAACTGAACTTAGGTTTTGCAGCGTATCCAGGGAATCTGTGGATTATGAAAAAATTTCGAGGTCAAGTGGGGTTAAAAGGAGCACTTGCTAGAAATCGTATGAGCAGTACAAGTTTCAAACCTGGACTTTTGACCTCAAAATAAAAGAGAGATAAGAGCAAATTACGCCCTCCCCAATTTGGCCTAAAACGTTCATATCTCAGAGAGAAAAACTGGAGTGTAACCCAAATTAAGGTACAACCTAAAAATATGCTCCTTAAACCTCTGGGTCAGGTATTATGCAAATTAGAAAAAACCCCTATGAGTTACAAAGCCTAAAAAAAAAGGGGGGAGGGTGCAATGTTAGGAACCTGGTTTAGGGGTTCGTTTTTTCAACAGCTGCGGTTGGCGCCTTTCGATCCTCAATGTTAGTGAGTTGTTCTCTGGGCAGTCCTCTGTTATATGGCTCTCAGATTGTGTTTCTTGATTTTGGGCATCCACGCTTCAGGAATTTCTATTCCACTGTCCCTGTTGATGTTGCTAGGGTGGTCTTATGAGGATCACGATCAATAAACTTAATCTCATTCCCAAGGGGTAAGTGTCTAACTGTCCAAGATGAGTAAGATTCTAGGTGGTTTTTTGTGACAAGGTCTGATGTTGTTGTAAATGGCCTCTAATAAATGTCCACGTCACTTCAAGGCTAGTAGCTTTTTGGACAACTTCCCGGTCTGTTGGTTCTTTGTTTAGGAGCTGGTATGGTCTGTTCTTGATGAGGTTAGACATCTTAACGTGGTAGTTGTTGATATTCATGACTATGCTTGCGTGTCCTTTGTTCCCTGGGGGAACCTTGGTGGAATCGTCCTCTTTCAAGACTTTGAGTGCATCTCACAGTTCTTTCTTGAAGTTAGGCTCTGGTAACTTAGCCTGTTGAAGGACATAGTTAACAACTCTTCATACAGTGTCTGCTTGTTTGATGTTGAGTTGTCTGACAGCTGATTTGACCCTGGTGATAAGTTTCGACAAAAACAGACAAAAGCAGAAGTTTGAAAACCTTTTGTGAAGAAATAGGCATCCGTCACTCCAAGCGATCTGCTGTATGTAGACAAAACTAACTCAGTCTATCTTCCAGGTCTCTCAATGAAGCTGAGATAGCCAAGCTCAAGAAAAGACCTAATTTCATCGTTACTCTTCATAACATCCCTGCTACGAAAATTATCAGCTAACTCCCCAAACTTCTGAAATTCCTATTTGCATTAAAAGAAAAAAAGAATCATCTACACTCAGACCTTCTGGAATTCTGGGTCCCATCAGAAAATAGAATCACCCACCCTACTACTACCAAATTCACAAAATACTCTCCAGCTGCCCTGGCCATCTTGGAAGATTTTCGTAAACAAAGGGAAAGCTCCATTGGCAATAAATATGAATCAAAGGCGAGCTTCCTTATGCTATATCTTTATTATTTGATTAAGTAGTGTACTTGGTTTTTTTCCAACTTATAAGGGTTTGGGTTGCAATGTGGTTTTGTTGGGGTAGTTTTCCCTACCCTTTTCTTTTATCTAATATATAAAATCTCTGCCCTTTGATATAACCTCTTTGCTGAAAAATGGCACCCCTTCTGGGCAGAGCCTATCAGTGTAGTTTACTATAGGGAGTAGCCATCAACCCCACTGTTGGATTCAGGCATGGTAGGCCAGTATTACAACAATATCAAAACTAATTGTAGCCTGGTTGTGAGGGTGTGGAAAATGAAAAGAGAAGTGTCACTGAGGGCTTTTGGAAACTTCATCATTGAGCATCATTACCATATTTGAGCTGTTAACTGTTGCTGTTGCCTTGCTAAGAGAAGGGAAAGTCACATGAGTAAAAGTAGCCCCTTAAATGGGCACATGAGCAAACTGAAAATTCAAATGCAAATGATCGCATTTTGACAGGTCCTTACAGCTTAGTGATTTTAGTAGTATCTGTAAACTATCATTTTCTCGTATGATTTAATTAGATTGCAATGCATGCTCATGGAGTTAATGAAATAATGCTGAAAGATTAATAATAATTACAAGGGGGTGGAAGGGCATCCTCCATGCTTTGTCAAGAGGGTCTCCCCTTTCCCAGTTCTTCTCTCAGTCTGTTTGCATCTTCCATGTCAGAGCCCATTCACAGGCTAGGCCTTTTATTGGCAGCGTGATGCACGTGGGTGTGTTGTCCATACAATTTAATAAAAAGAGTATCGATCGGGTATTTTTGGCAGGAATGAGGTTTATTGCTGGGAGCAGTCAATTATTGGAGAAGTTGAAATTGTTGATCTTGATCTTAGCAAGGGAATACCTTGGTTGATAGATGAGAAGAAAATTAATTTTTTCAAAAGTTTTATTGAAAATTATAAATGTTATTTTTCCTTGACATCACTTCTTCAAGGTTAAAACTATAGTTCCAAATTAACCTGAACTTGAAAACTCAACAGAGTCTGAAATGATAATTTCCCTTTTAAATGGTTGGAAAACTCGACCCAACTCTTTAATTATAAGTCTTCAAAAAATTATAGGAATGCATGTTGATATTCTGAATTTTTCTTCATTTGTAAAAAACGTAATCAAGTCTGAAATTTTAATTTCCCTTTTAAATGGTTGAAAAACTTAACAAAACTCTTTAATTACTTCTCTTCGATAAATTATAATATGTATGCGAATTGATATTCTGAATTGTAAATCTTGTAAAAAAAACGGTGTAGCAAGAGAAAATAAAAAAGTTAAGAAAAACTGCAACTGATACTTGCAACATGTTGTTGAAGTACGTTGGATAGGAAGTTTCTTTCTTTCGATCTCTCCAGAAAATTGCATCATTAGTTGAAATTCTGCTGAAACTGCATTTCAGAAACAATCTGTGACTGCACATTGTATTTCAAATTCAAACTTTCTGGCATGGGCAGTTTTTTAGTAATCTCACCTTCTCCAAGTGAGTTAAGATCATCACCAAGGATTGTCATCACATGACAAAGAGCGTGCCAATCTTGTGCTTCGTCTTATTTTCCTGTTTTCTCCTCGTATTAAGGCATCCTAGGGAATTTGACGATGTACAGAGGTGTGTAAGCACCCAGAGCTTCGATTCGGACAGTCTGAGTCGAGAAATTCTCTTCCATGGGTCTGCAGATGATGTCATCAACACCTGCATCAAGAACTTGTATTTTCCATCTGCTTGGAAGCTCGTGCGCATGCATGAAAGACTTACATGCATGCAAGAAAGACTTACGACCCATATCAATATTACCAGTGCTTTCAAAGGTTTATGAACAACTGATTTTCCGTCAGCTGTCTGTTTTTATTAATAAGAACAATGTTCTCAACAGTAACATTTCTGCCTATCGAAAGGGACAATCGACTACTAATGTACTTCAAGCTATACGAGACGACATAGTAAAAGCCATGAAATGTTCGGAGGTAACCATGATGATCTTAGCCAACTTTTCTAAAGCCTTTGATACGATCTGTTTCAGAAATCTTAGCACCAAGATGAGTAAACTAGGTTTCCCTAGACACTTCCTGATATGGACACTCAATTATATTGCGCATCATAAACAATTTGTACAGATCGATGACACGTGCTCAAAGGTTAAAAACGTGAATTTTGGGGTTCCGTAAGGCTCCATCTTGGGTCCGGTGCTATTCAATATTTATGTTGCTAATCTTCAGGAGAACGTAAATGTCAAATGCTTCCAGTATGTGGATGACACAACAATCTACGATCATGCTAAAATATCTGACCTAAATAACTGTAGAAACACTATCTCCCAATCAGTTAATAAGTTAAGTGCCTGGTCTAAGCAGAGTACCCTCGCCTTTAACAATGACAAAACCAAGGTTATGATCCTATCCACCCTGCAAATGTCCAGAGTACATCACCTTGACGAGTATGATCCTAACATCGTAGTGAGTGGTTATAAACTAGAACGTATTAAATCTTGCAAACTGCTTGGAGTTCACATCAATGAGCATCTTAAGTGGGACGATCACATCAAGGACACGGTATCTGGATGCTATGCCACTCTATCGATACTAAGAAAATTTAAATACCTTGCCAAATATGAGCTTAGATTGGAACAGATCATATGATGGTTGGAAAGTGCAGGATTCCTGACAAATCCTCATCATCTCTAGTAATAACAAGATTGAGTGTATGACCATTCCTTTGTGTGGCACCATGAACATGCTGAGCGAGATTAAATGCTTGAAGGAAACTGTTGAGGCGTCAACCATTGGTATCATCAGAGTCAACATGAAAGTCGAAGTCGCCAACCATTAAGAGGTAGCCTGGAGCAGTTGTTATATGGCCAAGATAAAGGGCTAGTTCATCGAAAACCAGCAGAACATTGGACAAGGGAGGACAATACAAGACAACTAAAGGAGTAAAACAGTTTATAGCTTTGAGCACTAGTTCAAGGTGTTCGAGTGATAAGTCTCACGCGCTTGACTCACAACCTTTAAATTATTCTTTAGGACAACACCAACTCCTCCCCAGAAGAATGTAATCTAGGTGCATGGTAAAAAACATATCCATCAGGGCAGATATCACGAATGTTGTACAAATCTGAGTCGTTCCCACAAAGCCACGTCTTTGTAAGGGCGCATAGGTCAATATCGTGGTTGGCAATAAAATTCTTTATTAGTGACGACTTGTCACTGATAGATCGAGAGTTCAGAGGGGAAAAAACCAACGGAACAAAAGAGGGTGAATTGAAGCTAGGTGGTTCCAAACGAATAGTAATTCAGTTGTTGGCACAGTAACCACCACAATGGTGACAAAGTGGTTCATGGTTCTGCAACAAAGAGGTGACACTTCAAATATTTAATAAGAAACGATAATGGCTTCAATTTAAACTAGTGGTGGGAATCCTGAGACCATTCCTCATTGATCTTGCTTTAGACAACCATCCAGAACGATTTCCATGATATCTCAAAATGTCCATAGATTTCAGTTTCATCAGAAGCATAGGTGTACAAGAGAGCTTGCCCATACTATGAAAGGAAAGAAGCTGATTCCTGGAATATGAAATACGAGACTGACATTGCTGTTGCTGACAACAAAGTCCAGAGGACAAACAGGGACGATGAGCAACCTGTGCGTTAGCAACAGGATGAATCTTATAATTAAGCAATGAGCAGAGCGGACCAGGATTTCTTTCAATGTCCACAAAAAGTGTTGGATCAATAGGAGGCAATAGTAAGCACATGAGGCCATGCTTGTTCCAGATAGTTATCAGACAATTAGCGTTGTAGCTCGGGCGATTCCCCGCAATAAATGAAACGATGTCCCAACTTTCCAAAAGAAATTAATTGAAGAATGATGTCATTAGAAGTCTCAGAATTGTAAAATGAATTTGAAAAACACAAGAAGGAAAGCAAAATAAAACAAAAATTGTGAAGAGTGAAATTCGTGGCAGCCATGAAGGCACACAGACATTAACTATGTTGAAGACAATCTCCTTGGATTCCAAGCTCCTCCTTTCTTCACAAAACAAACTGGTGAAAGTTCGTAACAGTCATTGGACAGCTTCTGGCCCACTGTGGTTCTCGCTCACAGACAATCGATGTTGGCGCATGAATCTGCTACACCAGCTTGGACCTCCTACAAAATCAGCAACATTCATTTGCTTTACTAATTCTTTCACCTTCGGTCAGATCATGACAGTAGTGAGAGCACAGCTGTTTTCTCTTTGGCTGATATTCCACTCTTTCAAGGTATTTTCACCAGTCCAGCATGTTCCCTGACGTTTTGGTAGTTTTGCCATGACATCCGTTTTATTTTGCCTGTAGCAGATCATGGATTCATCAATTTCAAATTCTCTTGCTTCTACCCTTCTACTAATTTCACTGGCACGAGTGATTAGCATTATAAAGGAAATCAAGAGAATTAAATATTTAAGTTAGTGTTACATGTACATGTATCGGTACATTCAAATCTAGTCTTATAGACAATACAAAGAACATGTTGTTATGCACAATTGTTTTGGTCCTTGTGGCATATTTCCTCTGAATTTAACGCTCTTGAAACAGGGACCTGCTAATATGGACAACTTAGTTACACTTTGTCCTACAAAGTAAATTAACTTTGAAAATATTACTGTAGCTGCATGCTCTACATAATCTTTTTGTTTGATTGACAGATTGTTTTTGTTTGGGGTAAATCGTTAATCTGCAAGGTTGCCAAAGACTTAGGGCTTTCTTCTGTTCTCAGTCTACTCATTTCATTTTTAACTTTGTCACTGACCTTTATTATTTTTTCATTCAAATTTAAACATGTAGAGAAGAACTGTTTCTTACTCTGCTCAAGCCAACAAAATGCATATGCTCCCTTGTGGATGTTGGAAAATCGACAACTGCTTCGTTTAGTGTGTCACCTTGACAACTATGAATAGTTTTGGCAGCAGCAGGTCTAAGTGGAAATTGATGTCGAAGAATTTGTACTTTACTTTTTTATTGATCTGGAATCGTTTTGTTACTTCTAAAACTGGTGTCCAGTTTTTATTCATGTGTGTGTTGTGCAAATAAGCATAGCCCCTGCACTGTTTTCTGCCTATTTCAAGGTGTGGAAATGATACCCAAATAATACTTAGTTTTATGAAATTTTCAACTCTGAAGGCTATGTTTCCTATGACAGACCCTACACCATTTGTTAGTCCATCAGTCACATCAACATTACTTATTAAGTCATATTTTGCCTCAGCTGCCACTGATACATGTGAATAGAAGTCCATTGTCTTTGTTGGATCATCTGGGATTTTATCTTTTATTTGTCTCTTGTGATCATCAGAAGTATCCCCAATCATGTCCACAGCCTTAATCTGAGCTTTATCAGTTTTAGAGAGAGTATATAGGGCATTTTTGTGAGCATCTACCGATGCATTTGTAGGAAATAAATGTGTTATGTTCATTGGGTAATTTTCATTTTCTGGTGTTACATTCAAAAGTCTTACATTAAAAATAGCTATATCGTCTTTGGTGTTTTCCCTCTCTCAAATGGTTAAGTAGCTCTGCAAATTGTTTGTCATCTTTTTGTCTCATTACTTCTGTCAATTCGAAGAGGGTGAGGTATTCTCTCCAAATGTTAGTTGCTGAATTCAAAAGGATGAACATACCACTTCCAACAAGATGTTTCATCAATAAATGTAAGCTTTAGTTTCTTCAGTTGCGTCTGTATAGTATTTCGTTAGTCACTGTTCATTGCACAATACTCAAAACCTCTATTAGCAGGTATCTTAAAAGCAGAATGCAATGTTTTACCTCCTATGTTGAATGATGCCTTACCAGTATGGGCTGTTTCCACAACTTTCACATCATCTGAGAGGTTCATCTTTAGTTTTGACTAAATTTAATACATGATAAAAAAATATATTTTCGTTTTTCTTTCAAAGAACGGACAAGTGCATAATAATCATTATCAGACATGCACTTTATAAGAAGTTCTTTGTCATCATTATTTCTAGGGAAAATACATATACCATCAGGCAAATCATACTGATTATGCTGCTTTTTTTTTCCAGGGTCAAAGCAACCAAATAATTCACTATGCTTCTCCTTGATAGCACAGTCCTGCTTATTGATATGTTCTGCATTTGGAGCAACATTGTTAAAGTTGTCAAATTCAGTATTATTCATATCGTTTATTGCTTTATCTAGTATTTCTGAATGGTACTCATATTGGCACGTATTGTAGACAACTTCATCCTTAACTTGTTCCAGGGTCAAAGCAACCAAATAATTCACTATGCTTCTCCTTGATAGCACAGTCCTGCTTATTGATATGTTCTGCATTTGGAGCAACATTGTTAAAGTTGTCAAATTCAGTATTATTCATATCGTTTATTGCTTTATCTAGTATTTCTGAATGGTACTCATATTGGCACGTATTGTAGACAACTTCATCCTTAACTTGTTCAAACCGTTCTTGGTAAGTTTGACAGTCTTTTATCAAATCAGTGCTTTCCTTTCACCATGGTGTATAAAGCATTAGCTACTCCCTAAAATAGTTTTCTGGTTCCTTATCTTTATGGTGCCCGATGGAGCCGATTATTTTGGGCTTTTTTCTTTTTACTAGTTTCATACCTCCTATTAATTTGTACTCATTTGGTCTACATTCACGTTCAATGACATTAATACTATAAGGGTTGTCATCAGATTTGTTGTCAAAACTAGTTTCTGGTAGAAAATCATCAATGCCCATTCATGATGACTCATTATGATCACTAGCACCGCTGCTATCCATTTAGCAATCTTTATCACAGTTGAACCATGCAACAAAGTTGGCCAAGCGTAACTTTTCTAATTGTTTTGGTCTCCTTTGATAACTTTAATGACGTTGTCAGATTCTATGTCAGTTGAGTTGTCAGGCAACTGTCTGAGCTTATCTAATTTCTTTAACAAGAATGCCCTTTCATCTCCAGGTGAGGTGCATGTAAATTGGTTAATACACTATGATATGAGATACACTGCTTCTTAAGCGCTAATTTTACCTGCATTTAGCAAGTTTTTTCCAATGTGCCTTTCTCTATTTGTGATGTCTTTATCCCCAGAATTAGCTTCTTCAGACTCTTCTCTCAGGCTCTTTCTACAAGTCTGCTCATACCTCTTTGCCTTCTTGTAATAAAAGACAGTATGTACGCAGCACGTGCACAAGGATCTGATACATATTGTATGTCCATGTTTGCTTGCCAGGCTCTAAGTAAATTAGTCTTGTAACTATTGATCCTTAGTTCTGATGGTGTCCTTTTCAAAATAATGTGTCAGGCTTTAGTTTGTATCTTATAGCCAGGATGTAACTTTCCTCAATCAATTCTAATTTACTGAGAAAATCTTCAAAACTGATTTCTTCATTGTGTTTCATGTTTTCAAAAACTTATTTTGTTCAGCATTTTCTTTGGTCAGTTTCTTGTTCTCTTCATCAAAGCAGGAGATGTCAAGAGGTGTTAAAATCATTGTTTTTGGCACTGGTGGCATTGGGAAGTTGAATCTACATATCTTATGCCTTGCCTTCTTACGTCTCAGCATGCCTGTGCATTTGTAAGTTCACAAACTCTTCCATTTCACTTCAACTGACTGATTTGTGGCAAGTGATATACTTATCAACAAAGGTGACAATTTCTCATTAGAACTTTTTTTATACTGTGGGGCTTCCTTTCCCCAAAGTAAACCATGGATATGTGGGTTTCCTCTTCGTTGAAATTCCATTGTGTAAAAATAATCAGCTATTTCTCCTATTGGCATTACACTGCACTTTGAGACATCACAAATAAATAACTGAGCCATGTGCTCAAAGTTTCTTGCACAAGTGACTGGATCTTTTTGTATCAAATCTGATTTTTTGTTCCCATGTCATTTGTTTGATCTCCTCATCAATATCCTTTTTTCTCTCTACAATTCTACCTAACATTTTAAGAAGATGAGTCCTCCTTGTTTCATCAGCTGAGAAAGAACAAAACTAGGAAGGGTTGTCCGCAAAAGAGCAAGGGCAAGAGCAAACAAGAGCAAGAGAAAGAGAGCAAGAGCAAACAAGTCTCTTTTGCATTTTTCAGAGTGAGGTGGTGAGCCTCTAATGTTTCTTAAAACTCTGAAACCTTCATCAAGGCACACAAGCTTATTAAGATAATCCTCTGATTTCAAGTCAACAGCAGTGTACTTCTTCCCCTATGTCTGACACTTTCTGAGAGAAATGCAAGCACTATCTTGAATTTGCTTGATTTGCGGTTTTTTAAGCTTACCGAATATGTTTGGCACAGACTTTGCAACTCTTCTATTTGGACATCTTAACTCCTACTTAGCAACTGTACTATTGGGACCTTTCTTTTGCTGTTGTCAGGTCTTTGTTTTCCACAGAATATTGTAGCTAATGAATAATATTCAGAATCTTTATCCATGAATATTCCTAATGGTTTGTTTCCTTCTCCAGGTGCAAAAGAAATAGTTCTATCTTCATCTTCTGTTACATCTGGTTCCTGCAGTAGTAAGTAAGTAAGTAAGTAAGTAAGTAAGTAAGAACTCTATTTAAAGAGGGTGGCACATAACAGTATAACTGATAAACTAGTGGCCCTCTCTAAAATTAATATTAAATTATTAAGATACATCCAGGATATTAAAAAATAAGAATATCATTAAAATTTAAAAATTTTCAAAAACTTTAGAATTCAAAAATATGCAAAATATTCCAAACATTTTCAAAATGAGGAGAGATATGTACACAAGGATGGGAACTGGGATTTAAGGGGCAATAAGACACTAATTAATCGAATAAAGCTAAGTATTTTTGGAAAAAAAATATTTTCGGACAGAAGATTTGAGAGCACAAATTGATTCTTTCTTGCAAATGTCTAAAGGAATGCTGTTCCAAAGTTTGGCTCCACTGACTTGAAAGGATCTACTCCCTTCTGTTTCTCTATTGTACAAGGAAGGACAAACCAAGTTGTACCTTCCATGACTTGTTCTATTATGACAGTCCAAGTTCTTAGTTATCAGTTTCATTATATAACTTAGGACTCGGACCATCATAATAAAACAAGTCGTTATGGTAGTGGTGTATCTGTTACTCCTGAAGGGCATTTGTCAATTTCACACCAACCATCACTTTCATATTTTACATTGTCCTAATTATCAACATCTGCAGTGGAAATATTATTTTGGCAATTTGTGACAAGTTTATTGCTTTGCACACCAGCACTTGATGTGTCAAGGTTTTGAACAAATTCAGTTCAATCTTCATGGTCAAGCAATTGTGAACTGATGTTATCTACGCATGAATTTTGCATTTCTATGCCTTCACTTTTGAACAAATTGCTTATGTCTACAAGATATTTGGCTGCATTTAATTATTTTTTTAGGTCTAACATTTAGAAACTGATAGTGGTACTTGAAACTGAGGTGCCTTCTAAGTTATATGGGAATGGTTTGTGATTTGCTTATTGGCCTTGGGAGACAATGAAATTGAATTTACATCACTTGGTTTAATTATTGACAATGTTTTCATGAATAGACAATTGACCACCTCTGGGTAGTTCCAAGGATTTGCATGAAGGGTATACGAGGTGATCAGGCTTGTAAGGAAAACCACTGTTATTGGCTGTAGAACGGCTGGGAAACTTGCCTTTCTTCAGGTTTGAATCAGAGCCAAAGTTATACCAAAGTTGGTCACAACAACTGCATACATATTCTGGGCCACATGCAATGTTTTTGTGAAAATATTTATCATAGAATTGCATTACATTCGATGCACTCGATCATATCTTTATCGCATGCTAGACTGCGCAATATAAGAAATAAACATTATTATTATTATTACATTTGTTTGTTTGTGGTTTCAGCACGTCACTGCTGCATGTTAGTTGTGATACACTAGGCAGATCATGAAATGGTGTTTCAGTAACTGTTTATGCTTCTTTTAAAATTTTGATTTAATTCTTTGATGTGTTGAGGGTTATTCAGTTTTTGTTTCCTTACGGCCTGTTTGTTAATTTCCCTTATGTGCTCTGCACTCTCTGTTTTTCATCTTGTTGCTGTCTGTTTATTGATTTCCTTAATGTACTGCAGGTGCTCTGCTTTTCGTTTTCTCACTGTCTGTTTGCGTTCTCTCTTTTTCCTTATCTCAGACTGTTTGTTAATTTCCCTTCTGTGCTCTGGGTTCTTTGCTTATTGTTTTATTATGGTCTGTTTGTTAATTCCCCTTATGTGCTCTAAGGTCTTTGCTTTTCATTTTCTAAAGGAGCATTACTCAATTTTTCTTACATGTTCTGGATCCAGTTTTATTTTTCTGGCAGCCTGGTTTTTCTTGTCCCTAGTTGTTTTGCTATTAATGCAGCTACTTTGCGGCAAGTTACCATTCTCACTTTTTCTAAACTTCTTATCAGCTTCTATTTGTATCCCCTTGTGTAGACTTTTTTGTAAGCTTTACAGTTCTTCCTGTTATCAACTGGACTGTTTTCATCTCCATTTTGTGCACATTTGCTGTTGTTTGTAAACTTCAAAGTTCTACTTTCTACTGTAAAAACGTAATGAATCTCATCTAAGTGCCCAATGTAAATATTGAGGCCATCTGCATTCATTGGTTCAACAACAGTAACGGGAGAAAAGTTGTATTTGATTCACTGGGCTTATCATTGACACCACCTAAGCTTCCATGTCAAACTTGAAGGTTTTGGTTGTCAGACCTCTCTGTCCTTTAAAGCCTCTCCAGCCAAAGGACATAACAATATGAAACCAGAAATCTCGCAAAAGTGACAGTGTAAAAACACCACTTGCTTTGGGGTGTTTGAGATGCTCTTCTTTAATAGTAGGTGGGTTGGTTATGTTTTTTTTACCGCTTCATGTTCTGCTTCAGAAGTGAAAGTTGTGAGGATAGGTTTTTGCGCACTCTAGCTGGTCTTCACGGGAACATACAAAATGGGGAAATTTAGCTCGGTAGAGACCACTCGCCTTACAAGAACGGAAACTTGTCACGATTTCCTGGCACACGGAGATCTACTTCGAGTGAGCTTGTAAGGACATCAAGGAAGAGACAGCATTTTGGTTCCACACTAGACTTTAATTCAAAGAGTACTCTGACACAGGTCATGCCAGAGTTAAAACTAAAATAGTAATCATCAAAGCTGTACAAGGCTGTACAAAGTACTTGCTTAAGAACTAACTGGTGTGACGTGCTGTTGTTACACAGATCGCAATATTTGAAAAAGGACACAAAGGAGTGGAAAAGGTCTCTTTGAAGTTAAACGAAAACTACTTAGATATTCCATCTGTTTCTATGACGAAAAGACTCAAAATTAAAAGGATGGATACAATAAACTCGAGGCCATTAAAAATAGGAAGCTTAGGTGACAACTCACAGCTCTGTTATAGAAAATATACCTATCTTAATTACAGCAGAGCAGCTTAGGAAATAAAAACGGAAAAGTAATTAAAAGTTTCTGCTTATCTATGCAAGGTTGGTGTGGGAAACTATGGTATGAAAAGAAATTAAAGTTACGAGTATGAACTCAGCTGCTAACTACCATGAGAAACAATTTTTCCCGAACGACCATTAACACTTATGTTTACCTAAAATTCCACCACTAATAGGTAACAAAAGTACCAACATGCAAGTGCGTAATGAAAGCGAGTAACAAGCAAAATCTATTCCTAAAGCTACTGTGGTTTTTAAACATCTTTTGATTTACTAAAATGGAAGAACTTGAATGAACTCGA